AGCAGGTTACTACCGAGAGAGAGCGAGTTGTGACTTGAGACTTGACGACATTGGATCCAGACTCAACCTTGGGATTCAGACATTTCGACGAGGGACTATTTGGGCCTGTGCTGAACACTTGGTGTTGACGACATTCCCATCTTCCCCTCTTCTTCGTCTAAACCCCATCTTCTTCGTCTGTGTATGGTTGGGACTGGCGCAGTCTTCCTGTGTGAAGCGCCAGACCCCTTCACACCATGGAATGATGATGATGATGTATGTTTGGGGCTGCATTGCAATATTGATTGTTCGGATCATTGGTATCTAAGTCTTCCGCTGTGCTATTTTATACTTTGTATTGAAAGGTCGGTTCTTGTTCTGGTCTGCACCTATACGGTATGCAACAGAGAGACTCAGGAACACATGTTCCTCTCTCTCCTGCGCGCGCGCAGCGCTAGTATGGAGGTGGTGGGGCAGGGTTCGGAGATGGCTTACAGGGCAGGATTCTTGGCCATGGGATTGGAAAGCCATACTCCTCGCTGACCAGAACCATAAAAAGGAATCTCATTTGAGGACAACCGGTACTGGATGGGGAGAAAGGCAGTACTGTGGGGCATATGGACATCAAGATGTACTCACAAATGGGACGAGATGTCCAACAGGACCAAGATACATAGGAAAACAGCATCTCCTAGGTGAATGGGAACAGGTAGTAGACATCATCAAATTCCTGAGTGATCCTCAGGAAAAACCGACAAAAAGCAATGAATTCTGTGACAAGTGGATGAACAACCTAGAGCTCAGGGAGATTGCCAGGGTGGAGGGGGAGGTTTCATCACCTCGCGGGGTTCACCAGAGATTTGCAGAATGGGCTACGTTTCCCACTTCAGCCCAAATGCAACCGGCCACAGAATTCCCTGATCCCTTCCCTCCCCCCCCGACTATAGTTTAGAAGAACTGTCATTGTTGGGGGGGGGGGCGGAATAAGTCTGTTGTATATAGCAGGGGAAGGATCCTAGCTAGGATGAAACGTTTCAGATGGCGACCGATGTCTTCTTCTCTTCTGATCTTAGTGCCTGAAGATAACATAACTTTGGCAGTACCAAGTCTTTGCTTGTCAATTATGTATTTTTTTCTGGGACGCTGGACCCGTTTTACAGCAGGTGCAGCTCCCCACCAATGGATTGGAGCCATCCTAACTGCAGCCCTCCATCTGGGTGGTTCTCTCACCACCACCTAGATGGGTAGAGGAGGTAAAAATAAAATAAAATCAATTTCCAAAAAAAAAATTAAAAAAAAATGAATTCCCACCTTTTGTCTTCCATTGAGCTTCTCTTGTTTTGTTTCCATCCGTTTCCGTTTGTTTCCTAATAAGTTCTGCTCTGCTCAAACTTCTTTGGGGATCATTTTTTGATGTGGATGGCAGGCAGATTGTCAGCGAGGCAGGCCCTAAGGCATGCCTACTTCAAGGAGTTGCGTGAGAATGAAAAACGGCAGCAAGCTGCAGCTAATGCCGAAGCATCTGTCAGCATCAATCCTTCACCCAGGTGCCGTCTCTTGGGAGCTCCTTCTCTCGGTCAGTCGATCTGTCCGTCAGTCGGTTGGTCAGTCCGTAGGTCCGTCGGCCTCTCTCTCTCTCTCTCTCTCTCTCTCTCTCTCTCTCTCTCTCTCTCTCTCTCTCTCTCTCTCTCTCTCTCTC